AAAAAAAACATAGTTTACTCACTCACTGCAATACATAGTATGTAGAACAGAATGATTTGGTGTTAAAAAAGAATGCTTCATCATATCTGACCAGACATATACGAAAGATTTGTAAGATTTGAGATTTTCCATGCTGAAAAATTCCAAGGGGTCCAAATAAGTTAAATAGCCTGACCATTTTTAATAACTTATTCTAACATATGGCTTTGTCTTCCAGAGAAGTCTGAGTATTGCAATTCTAAGCAATTGGAATAGGAATCTTTCAAGTTGAATTTTTGGCAACTTCACAGAAAAGTTTACATTTTTTCTGAAATACATGATGGAAAATTAAAGTGAAATATAAGTAATGTAATAACAGAGCCAAGAGATTGCCTTTACAGAAATTGATTTACCTAACCATCTGTGGAACCATATTTGTGTGCTTTAGAATAAAACATTTCTCTCTTGCTTTCAGTCTCTTAAAATGTTGTGGTCATCATCAACTCAGCTATGAGAATAAAAATGGATAGGTCAAAATAACCACTCTATAAATGCATTCTAATGTAACATGGTCATTTTATCCTTGCATTCAAACTTCCTTGAGTCATCTGAGAGGAGATACAATTACTAGATAGCCAATGATTACCAAACTTTATTCATTAATTAAATAATATCTGAACAAACTTCCTGGAGTCAACTGAAAGGAGATATAATTAGTAAATACCTATTATAGTGTCAGCTTACTAATTAATTAAATAATGTAAACAGATTTGCAAGTGCAGTTATTTGGACTTTCCCCCCCTCCATTATGATTTAATTTCTTTTAAAAGAGTATTTGTTGATTCAGAATGCTCAAAAGACAAAGGCTTCGAGTGACCCAGGGTTGGCAGGAAAGATAATTAGGGAGGCTGTTCTGATTTTCTTCCTTCACCAAATTTTCTTCCTAGAAACTTTTCTCATGGAAATGAAATTGACACATCAGTTTGGGTGGAGGCTGTACTGAATAACTGGTGAACTTTGTATTCCATCCATAGATCTGTGGGCTACGCCTTCCTACACCTTCTTTTCCCTCTTTCTGAGGTTGCTCAGCAGTTTATGAGGTTAGCAGGAGCACAGGATGGGAGTGAAATCCCAGTTGGACAATGTGTGTTGGGATGGGAAGAAAAACTTTAAATTTATTCCCCTTATTCTACACGTGGTTTTTCTGTCTCTCTTGCCTCTTCTCTCAGGCTACCTATTTCCAGGCTAATTTCGGCTTTTTCTAACATTTTTCAGTTATTGCTTCTCAGGCTAAAATGCTTCTCTCTCTTCTCTTTCTCCTTCCCTTGTGCATTTGTGTCCTACCCTTGGTGCTCCACAGCTTTTTATATCTTTTTAAAATACCAAGTTTCATTATTTGCCTCTCTACTTTTGGGACAGATCCCCTTCCTTCTAGAGGTCTCCAATTCTGATTGCCTTATTAATTCCATCACTGTATGACAAGAAGCTTCCTAAGCTCTTCTCTTAAACTCTCCCACAATTTACCTTATCAATACAGGGGAACCTATTTTTTCAAGTTACACACTTGGCACCCACTTTAATTTCTTTATTTTACCTAGGAAGCTTCTACCCAGAGTAACTTCTTTACTTATTCCTCTGTTGGAACTTTCTGGGTTATTATATATGGATTATTGTATTGATTGTTTGATTATGTCCCACCAAACCTTTTTCAACTCCTAACAACCACATGAGTTGATCCATAATCAACTCGCCCGTCGCTCCCATGTAACACCTCTCTTGCGCCAGCTGCACTAGCTCCCGGTGGTCTTCCGGGTGCGTTTCAAGGTGTTGGTTACCACCTTTAAAGCGCTCCATGGCTTAGGGCCTGGATATTTACAGGACCGCCTGCTGCCACTGACTGCCTCCCACCGACCGATACGCTCCCACAGAGAGGGCCTCCTTAGGGCGCCGTCGGTCAAACAATGTCGACTGGCGACTCCCAGGGGGAGAGCCTTCTCTGTGGGGGCTCCTGCCCTATGGAACAAATTGCCCCCGGATATACGAAGGATCCCCGACCTCCGTGCCTTCCATCGTGCGCTGAAGACCCTGTTATTCCAGCAAGCCGGTCTGATGGGACAATAATTTTAATTGGGTTTTAAATATGGGTTTTTAATATGGTTTTATAAGGGTTTTAGAATGGGAATTTTAAATTCGGCCAAAATTGAATTATTTTAATATGGTTTTTAAATTTGTTTTGTATATTGTTTTATTATGAATGCTCACCGCCCTGAGTCCTTCGGGAGAAGGGTGGTATAAAAAAAGAATAAAATCTAAATCTAAATCTAAATAATGATCTATCTCTAACCTGTTCTTTCAAGTCTCCCAATGGTACACCCATCACCCCAGTAAAGATAACTTTTTAGGTACTCAATGTATTGTGTAAGATATCCTCGTGGCTCTTTGGTTTTAAAAAAATATTTACTAATAATTTAAATTATGGCATAGTAATTTAAGAATCGCTTCTGTGGAAAAGAATATTATTGTTTTATCCTGATATGATTGAAATAAAAATATCTGATCCTATAAATCTGAAAATCCACAGGCATCAGCAAATTGAAGCAATTATTCCATCTGCACTAAAATCCTATTTTAAAAAAAACTTAAATCAGAAATGTGGATGCCTAGGGCTGGAGGAAAATTATTCTGATTAATTGGGGTTTTTAAATACCCTTGATCTATCATTATTTCTTTTTACCTGAAGAGACATTTTATTCCCTATTTAATGCTGTTTAGAGGAATCCAGTTTCCTGTTATCACCCACTTCATTGTTAACAGTTTGTTGTTTAGAAGTGAACAAAGACATTTCTGCAAGAGCAGCTGTGCAATATCTATTTTCTTTTAAAGTTATTTATAAGCATTGCTGAACTAAGCTCAAACTGAACCTCTTTTGCCTGTTCGCATTTGTCTCTCACTCTCCCAAACCACCATGCCCTTTGCAACCTGTATTTCTCAGGCTTGAATCATTCACAATAGCCTTCTTTCAGCTGGCAGAATCCCTTGCCAGTAAACACACTTTAATCACTTTTCTGTGGTGAAATTGATGAGAAGCAGAAGAAAACACTGCATATTGTAATGCAATGTATTTCCAGGACAACCTTTTTACCAAACTAGCTTGAAATGTGACCAAGATCTGTCAGATAATGAAAATATATTCCCCGCCCACCCAGTTGTATAGGACTTTCTTACTTAGACTGTGCAAAAGCACATGGACCAGGTAAATTATTTACATGAATGGATTCACACAGATACAGACACACACACTCAGACACACAGACACACACACACACACACACACACACACACACACACACACACACACTTCAAAGGAGAAAAAGGGATGTGGAACCCATAGAGGTGCCCAGGTAACAGCTACCAATGACTCCTTGAAGAAGCTTTTCACTGACTTATGTAGCAACTACATCTCAGGGAAATACAGATTGGATTTGTCTTCAGACTGCCGCACACTGTAATTACTTATTTATCGGGGGCCATTCTGAAGTAACCTATGTCACAGACTTTTCAGGCCAACTACCTTTCTTGAAAGGACCCATTGAAATTGTTAAGTAAACTTTTTTTGGGGTGGAGGGTGGGGATATTGGTACAAAGAGCAGGTGCCACGGTAAAAAGGCCCTGTTCTAGATGATAATTTCTCACAAATGGGATGCAGAGCATTTATTTATTTATTGGTTCGATTTATATGCCGCCCTTCTCCAGAGACTCAGGGCGGCTTACAATGTGTTAAGCAATAACCTTCATACTTTTGTATATACCTGCTTAGTAGGGCTTTCGGCCCCCCAAGCGGTGTTCTTTTTTATACAAAGTCAGCTTTTTGCCCCCACAATCCAGGTCCTCATTTTACCTACCTCGAAAGGATGGAAGGCTGAGTCAACCTTGAGCCTGGTGAGATTTGAACTTGCAGTAATTTCAGGCAGCTGGTGCTACTTAATAGCACTTTAGTCTGCTGCACCATCAAGGCTCTTCCTTCTGGATCTAATGGGATGGGTAGACATCCTTGGGGAGAGATAGTCCCATAAGTAACCCAGTCCCAAGCCATGAAGAGCTTTAAAGGTGACTATCAGCGCCTTGAATTGTACTCCAAAGCAGACCAGTGACCAATAACCAGCTTAGAAAGTAGAAGTGTCACATGTGCTAAACGATTAGCACCCATAATTGCTCACATCACCAAATTTTGTGCCAGTTTAACCTTCCAAATACTTTTTGAGGGCAGCCCCATGTAGAGTGTATTCGAGTCCTAAAACCTGAAGCCATCTGCCTTACTAGGGCTGAGCTCAAACCTGTTGTTCCCCATCTAGATTCCAAGAGCCTCCAGATACTGGGATAGGAAGGAGATCAGTTTTTTCTGTCAGATCAGGTTTTGTTTCGACAAGACAGCAATTCACCTGTTTTTTTCAGCTGAATACCTACAATCTTGACATTATTTTTAATTGCATGAATCATAAAGAACCCATGCAATTGGTCAACATATTGTTATAGTTTGATTTCATAGCAACATAGTGAATGGCCCATAGGTTCTGGCAGCTAGGAGATGCATCATTCATTCATTCACTCACTCACTCGTCCGTCCATCCATCCATCCATCCATCCATCCATCCATCCATCCATCCATTCACAGGAACCATGCTGGTGCAGTGGTTAGAATTCAGCTAATTCAGCTCATTGCCAGGAGTTTGATTCTGACTGACTCAAGGTTGACTCAGCTTTCCATCTTTCTGAGGTTGGTAAAATGAGAACCCAGATTGTTGAGGCAATATGTTGACTCTATAAACAGCTTAGAGAGGGCTGTAAAGCACTGTGAAGCAGTATATAAGTCTAAGTGCTGTTGCTATTCAACTGTTTATTTTTGGAAGCTGGAGCCCCAGGTAACGGTAGATGGGGGAGGGGCGATTTATTAGAGCTTCCTTGGTTTGAGAGAGGTGACAGAGGTTCACTTCTTCCACTTTAATTCTTTTGCTTCCCAACAGAAATGAGCAAGAAACTACATCATTGATGCTTAACACTTGCCACCAAATGTTAAACGCTTGATTTGGAGAAGATCTGGAAGCTGTCCTTAGAGCAGCAGAACAACCTGAAGATATGTTCAAGCAACAGCATTGAAAAGGCTTCCAGAAACAACTGCTGTGTTTTTTATGATTGACGATTTTAATGTTTTTTTAAAATGTTTTTATGTTGCAAGCTGCCCAGAGTCATTGGATATGAGATGGGCGGTGAATAAATTTCATACTAAATAAAGAAATAAAAATTTCTGAGAGATACAGGCATTCTTATCACAATCCTTAACTGCAACTATCCAAATAGAACCTCAGTGATTATTTCTTGATCAAATGGACTATCATAAATGCCGCATGAGTTGAACTAATGCACCTGCTCATTGATCCCTCTTTTCTAAAGTGGTTTATGAAAAAAAAACCATCAACCCTAATTTTTACTTAGTTCTATGAGGCTAGGACAGATAGCCCTCTGACAAATAACCTGAAGGGTTTTTCTTAAAAATCATATTTTCAATAAAAAGAGATAAGATACCCTCAGACTGGTGAGTACTAAATTTCAGCCAGCAGCTACTAGGACATTCTCCCATGTTGCTCTTCCAAAACTTTCACCTGGCTTTCCATGCAACCTGGAAATTACAATAATTGCAAAGACATTTTGAGGAGAAAGGATCAGCTTTATGCAATGGAGTAACTACCCAAAGCACTCATCTCACCAAGCAAGCACGGCATGATTTTTGCTCCCTAAGTAGACATTAAAAAGGAACTAATAATTTACTGAGTTGTGGTCCATCTGGTCTCATTTGTTCCAAACTGCCTGGATTCAGTACAATAAATACATATGGCAAAAGAAAAGATACGGTGAAATCCCCGATAGCTGGCAAACAAACAAACAAAAAGCAAGAAACACCTGGATTTCCAAGAGGCCTCTTTGATATTAGTCGGAGGTGAAAGTATAATCTTGAAAACTGCAAAAGTAAATTCCCAGGCAGACTTCTAACCTGTCAATTAAGATCAGCCTCCCTGAAAATATGTCTCTCCCACATCCCACATCTGTACTGTCTTGCCTCTTCTCACACAAACTCAGCTCCTCCACCCTGCCTGCCTGCCTTCATCCCACAGATCCTCTCATTCACATAAACAGTTGTGGGAAGCTAACCCCCTCCTAGAAGAATTAAATATTTTGAGAAATATTATAAAAGGCAGAATAAAATATTTCTCCTAAAAGAGAAATAAAAATCTTAAGGGAGCCCCAGCTCCCTCTCCCCAGCAGATATTTTGTGCCCATTGAGAAAGATGGGTCAGCCTATCTATAAAACAAAAGACCTTCAGCTCCAGGGTGATGGGATTAAAGCATGACCCTCCAGGACATAATAGGATTAACCCACTACCATTTAGCAGCAGAGCTCACTACATTGCACAATCTCCTAAGGACATTGTATCACCCTCCAAACTTCAACCAAACTTAGCTCACACAACCTACAGAGCCAGCTATGACTCCTACAACACCCAATAGAATACATGTTTTTGCACAGGAACAGGAAGTTCAGGTGCAAAGCCCATGAGAAGGTATAAAAGCCACCCCTCTCAACTCCATGTGGTCAGCTACCCAGAACCTATGTGGTTCTGCTTCATCATTAAACCATTTTTCCAATCAGCCTCCATGTTTCCAGTGCCTTTCTCCCAGCTTAGAACTGAACCAAATGGATATTTCTTCCAACACAGTCTTATTTGTGGAACTCCTTTTTTGCAACATCCTACCACCGCCACTTTATGAGATTTACTTCCACAGTTTATATTCTATTTATTCTAGAATTATGCTCATTATGAATTGTCGAGCTGGATGCTTTCAGATAAATCCCCATTCCCAGGGTACACAGGTTATACATTACTTTTTGGTGACATTAGTTTTTCCCTAGGACATAGTGCTAGTTTCTCTTTTCCACTGCTTCTTCAGCTTCATTGGAGACAAGAGATTTGTTGACATAGGAGCTGACACACAGCTTGGATATATCTTTTTTGCTTTCATCTTTCATGATAGACTAGGTCTTGTTACTAGGTCTTGCCCTCAATTCTCTTCTTCTCCCTCAATCTTCTTGTTCATCCTTGAGTTTCATCTCCTTCACCTTTAAGATGAATTGTGGTGACACAGTGGTTAGAATGCAGTATTACAGGTTGACTCTGCCCACTGTTTGACCCTGACCCGCTCAAGGTTGACTCAGACTTCCATCCTTCCGAGGTTAGTAAAATGAGGACCCAGATTATTGGGGGCAATACGCTGACTCTGTAAACCTCTCAGAGACTGCTGTAAAACACTATGGAGCAGTATATAAGTCTAAGTGCTCTTGCTATTAAAATTATCCTTCGTGTGCTGAGATTTTTGACTTTCACAAAAGCATTTCCATTAGTAGCTTTCTTCTAGACTATTTCCTGTGATTTTCAAAGCCTGGGTTAATTATTACTATAAATCCACTCTCCTGATACTTTGCCAGTATGTCTGTCTCCATTAGCTACTGAAAGGTGGGAAACATTTGCCTTCACCTTATTGTAATGATCTTTTCTCTTCCTTAAATTTCTCAAGACATCATCCCCCATTCTCACATGTTCTCCCTGTAGTGTACATTGATCTTTTGGCTTTTACTTATGATATAATTAATCATGCAACTTTCCACTCATTTGGCAAAGTTCACCCACTTATGCTTTCTTATGTGTGTGTGTATAATATGCAGAGAGAGCACTTCATTTCTAAAAGAAAATATTATCTAGCACTTTCTTTATAATGATAGAAAATGTCTCACACTATGATAAAAAGGAAAGAAAGCAATTTTCTTATTTGAAAAGAAGTAGGAGCTGTTACTGTATTTCTTTTATACATTTTTAGGTTTTTGTTATTTTTTTCTTCAATAACTGTCTATGGGAAAGATTCAACACAATTGGTTTGTCTTCTTGTTTTTAGATAAAACATACTATGTTTTTCTTTATAAATATATACTGTAAAACTGTTTAGGGAGAACTGTTATTTGCTGAGGTAGGATAAATATAACAGAAGCAGGACAACAAACTAATATTGTTCCTTCTTATCAATTAAGAGCTGGTGGAGATAGAAAATCTGCAGCAAAAGATGAAGTACACATAGTCCTTGACGTATGACCACAAATGAGCCCAACATTTCTGTTGCTAAGTGAGACATTTGTTAAGTGAGTTTTGCCCCATGGAATGGTGGGGAATGGAAGGATTTATACTCTTTGCAGACAGCTGGTCACTGCATTGCAACTGTCTGCAAGGAGTAAAAATCCTTCCATTCCCCACTATCGTGTCAGAGCTGAAGAAGCTTTTTGGGTGGGAAGCGAAAGGTCTTCAAAGAAAAAACAAGAAAATCCAGTTGCCTCCTGAAAAAGCACCTTTGGGACATTTTCATTGAAATGGATGTTTGGAGAAAGGGCTTCCAGATGATACACCTGTTAAAGCAATGGGGTAGGAGCGGAGGGTGGTGTGGGGAAAAGCGATGACTTTTTTACAAGAATCTCTGATTAAACAAGGGATCATCTGAAAACTAAACAGGCAATATCACCACTCCTGGAACAGAGTGGTTTGTGCTGCTACTAGATGTTTCCTGTTGATGCTCTGTAAAACTTAAGCAATTTCTACCTTACTACATGGAATACGTTTTTCCATGTGACAAACCAATCCTGCTCAGTATCCTCTGATTTGTCTCACCCACATTCAAAATACCAAATGAATGGGACATCCATATTTTCATGCAGCTCAGCCTGAAAATGATTCTAGATCCTTGACTCTTTCTAATCTTATTTGGTGCCTTAAAAACCCTAATCGCCCGTCTCGCACACAGGGTTCCGTATTAGGCTTCTCGTATCTCATATCGAGAAAGGAGCATTATCAGCCTTCACAATAGTGGCAGCTGTGCTTCCTGGAAGCTAGGAAAGTTAGTCCCGTGTTCGGCAGACACACCTTAGCTACGGCCTGCCATCTGCCTTGTTAGCAGGCAGGCAGGCAGCCGCGGGAGACAAGAGACAGCTGTTTCCTACAATGCGGAAAACATCAGGACTCCCTTAAAGGCTTCGCAAGGGTAAACAGTTTCAGCAAAGTGTTGCAAATTTTCCCTCTTCGATTGCTATTATACATTGCACCGACACAAAATAATTTGTATTCAGTACGGATGGATTTTTGGCTCAGTGCCGTTCTAGAACGGTTATTTCTTTATGTTAGCAGCATGCCCGTAAAGGGGAGTAAGAAACCATTTTCTGGAACAAAGAGATCTTGTTAGATGCCACAATAATACCTGCATTTAATTTATATTGAAAAGCAAAGAAACAGAGGCACATTGTTCTTGCCTGTCAGGTATTAAGTTTCATTCAGTTTTATATACTCCCGATATTAGAAAAATCTAGATAAACTTCTATTTTAAGAAAAGATGCCAACCGTTGTCACCTTAACCAATAGCATGCAAGACTGCTAAGAAGGCAAAAGGGGCAAAGATACACATAGAGCTTGTGACCTGTGTGCACCATCAGAGGTGGGTTTCAGCAGGTTCTGACCAGTTCTGGAGAACCGGTAGCGGAAATTTTGAGTAGTTCGGAGAACTGGTAGTAAAAATTCTCACTGGCCCCGCCCCCATCTATTCTCTGCCTCCCAAGTCCCAGCTGATCAGGAGGAAATGGGGATTTTGCAGTAACCTTCCCCTGGATTGGGGAGGGAATGGAGATTTTACAGTATCCTTCCCCTGGAATGGGGTGGGAATGGAGATTTTACAGTATCTTTCCCCTGCCACGTCCACCAAGCCACTCCCACCAAGCCATGCCACGCCCACCAAGCCACATCCACAGAACTGGTAGTAAAAAATTTTGAAACCCTGTGCACCATGTTTGTGTTTGGGCATCATAGTCTTTGAGCTTCATGTTGAACTATAAATGTACTAACACTTGAGTGGGCAAATAATACCAAAATTTATTTATTTCATATATAAAGTCACCCACGGTGTGGATATGTGACAACATGAAAAAGTGAACTAATTACTTCAGTTCATGAATTAAAAGAATAACAAGGATCAATTGTGTGAGTACTTCATTAAACCAAGCCTCCCTTACTTAAATCTCATGAAGTTTAGCTCCCTTAATCATAGTCAACTTTTTATCATGGAGATTCTAAGGGCACATCATGATCTCTTTGAAAGAAATTTCTGAAAACTAATGACTTCTAACTTTAGAGTTGGAGACCAGTTTTTTTTTAAAAGAATGAATTCCAA